CCTTCTTAGTGTGTTATAGAGAAGTCTTCTACTTTGGGATTATCCAGATGTCGATATTCAGATTGAGGAAGAGTTACTGTTCTAAAATTAGTAGTATAATTATATTATCAAAGAATGATGATAGGTTGCTATTTTTTGACAATAGGTGGATATAACTTCACTTTTTGCCCTCAAAAGCATCTAATAGCTATCCCCCAATCTGTGTCATACACATTTTTTTTCATAAGATTTTAAAGTTAATTAGAATCAACCACAAAAACCTAAATTAGGAATAGTTCCTATATTTATACATATGTAGATCACTAACATAAAGAGTTTGGAAATAGTTTATCTTTTACTTCTTTTTCCAAACTATAACTATATTAGCTAATTCAGCAAATTTAGCCAAGGATTTATTTGTTATAAGGCATGGAAGGTAAGAGAAGAATAGAACTTATTTTCTTATAAATAAGTTGTTAAAAACTTGAATAATGCTGTAAGTAGAATGTTTATCATCTTTTTCTTGCCCATGATTCTGAGGAGTTTACCATATCAAGCATAATAAAGTAAGCATCATTTAGTTTTTATAAAATATCATTTGTGTACTTGAGTGCCTAGTGTAAAGCTATCTTATTTAATTTTTTTTGTCAGTTACATACACAGGAAGTCTCCTAGAGTTGGACTTCTACATTATTTAAAGTTCTCTTTTTGAAATCTGTTCTTCATTTAAAATATAATGCTTCCTGAAGAGCATTTTGAGTCTGTAAAACCTTTAAAATGCAAGAGTAAACTGGCTATTTTTAGTTTATTGGTTTATAATTCTCTATATATGCCTTTATTTCAAAATACAACTTGAAATGCCAGAAAAGTGGGGGGTGCTGTTTATGTTCCTTGTGCTGTGTAAATAATGTGACACTGACATAGAGTGAATTAGGAATTATTAATATCTTAAAGACTATAAAGTGTTAATATAATGACAATGAATTCAAAAGACTTGATCATAAGCCAGCTGGAAAAATGACTATTGATAATTAAAAATATGATATTTATATAAATAATTTAACTATGATAATTTCTTACATTTGTATAGTGCTTTATAAAAATTTTTCAATATCTTTTATATGTATGAAGATTTTTATTATGATCTTTTTTTATTTCAGATTATTATGGGGGTACAAATATTTTTGGTTGCATGTATCACTTTTATAATGCTTGAGTCAGGGTTATAAGTGTGCCCGTCACCCAGGTAGTGTTCATTGTACCCATTAGATAGGTCTTCACCCATCCCCTCCTCCCCCTCCCCCCATTATGGTCTTTACAACAATGAAAACAGATATTAGTATTTCTGTTTTATAAATTAGAAAAATAAAGCTTAGAGGATTTAAATAGTATACTTGAAAAGAGTTGATAGTGTTTTAAACCATCTAAAAATATTTTTTCTAATCCTATATGCTGACCACCTGACTTTTCATACATTATATAAGCTTGTTATATCCATAATGCTGATTGCTGATGGGATTTACTTCCCTTATTAAATTCATAAAAGGCATAGAGAATTCATTAGTAGTCCTAGCATTCAAAAGCATGGAGCACTTTTGAAGAATTTAAATCACCACCACAGATTTACATTTCTCAGGAAGATGCATAAGAGTAGGGAAGTTTCAGAAGTTAGCTGTAGCAGAGGGCAAATTTTGATGTGTTCTTTCCTAGAAATTTTTGTCTTCGTTTTCAAAAAATGCCCTTAGTAATTGGGAATTATATTTAACAAATTTTGCACATTTCTTTTACAATAGGGACTTGTAGGTGGCATTGGTCCTCCGGGGTTTCCTGGGCTTAGAGTGAGTATCACTAAATCTCATCATTTAAAAAATAAATTTTGCGTAATTTATATTTGTTAGATGTGTTTTAAAATCTTAAGAAAATGAGAAGTTTTAGTGTCATTGTTGGATATCAACCTTGATTAAATGTATTCTTCAACTAAATATAAAAATTAGACCAAAAGTATAGATCAAAAAATTAATTCTATTTCATGGTAAGCTAAAATAACATATTTCTATAGACTTATATGTATGTATTATTTATACCTGTGTCAGTAATAGATGCTTAATCAAGACTAAGTTTCCTCAAAAGCATAAAATTTAGAATAGCCATTTCTTTCTTTGAGACGATCTTCCATACCATCTAGTCTGGAGAGAGACAAACCTAAACAAAAACACAGGGCAACTGTAGACTCTTGTTTATAGAATAAAATTGAATAAATGGTTAGTAATGCCATCTTAAACAAAGATAGGAGCTAGACTTCACCAATGCCATTAAGCAGTTTAATACCTAATTTATTTATTATACTAAGAATACAAATGACTATAATATTTGTCTACCTAATAAGTTTTTATACAGTGAATTCAACTCTGAGTTTCCTTGGAGTTTCTGAAGTAGGCAAAGCACAGTTATAATTAAGTTTTTGAGCCCAGATTTGAAGCCATGCAGTCCAAAGTCGTGTTAAACTACTTCCTTAAAACTTGCACTACCTTAAAATATATATTATCTACCTTAAGAGATTTTTTTTAGTCTTTTATGAGAAGCTCTAAATGAAGATGGAACACAATGGACCAGTTTTTCTTTTTTTTTCCTCTGAACTTAGAATAGGGTTAAAGCTGTAGGTAAGTAATCAATGGCCTTATCAATGGGTAGAGAAAGGAAGTAGGTGAAGGGAGTTAAACTCCAAAGATGCTCTTCATACATTCTTCATTTAATCTATTAGCATTGAGTTAATTAGCTTAAAAGCCTCTGTTATTACTCTTAAGTTTAAGAGCAAAATTTTAACATGACCCAAGATGTCTAACCTGGTTTCATTCTTATCTGCGTCTTGAGCATATGCTCTGTGTACTAGCACGGCTGTTCATTCTAGGATGCCATGCAGCCTCCCTACTCCAAGGCCTTTGCACTTTGTCTGCCTGAAACACTCTCCCTCTGTTTTTCTGTTTAACTAACTCTCATTTATCTTTCAACTCAGGTACAAAGGCACAGTGCCTGGCACATGATAGTGTTCAGTAAAAATGGCTCAGGAAAAATAACTGGGGTTTTTTATCTTCTCTCTTTCTCTACGCACCCTTCAGTTGATGGGAAGAGATTCTACAGAAAAAGAAATGACTAATTAATGATACTGACAATCATCTTTGTCATCCTCATCTCTTCTATATTGATATAGAATGGTACTTTATACTTTTCAACTCTCTATATATATATATATATAATTTATTCCTCAATGAGTTATAAAGTAGATAGAACAGGTATTATTACTTCCATTTTACATTCGTTACTTTTTAAAATTAAAACACCGTCAGCACCTACTATATATCTGAACTAGATGCTAGGCCTAAAAATATAACCAAGTTAAGATTCCTATTTTGGCAACATTACAATGTAATGGCATAGAAGGAAAAATAAGCAATGTCATATATTATGATTATTGCTATAATAAACTAAATGTAAAATCACTGAGAGAGGAGCAATTTGTGTTATTTCAAAAATCAGAGTAGACTTCACAAAGAAGATATTTTTTAAACTTTATCTTGAAGATTATATATGAGCGCGGTGGGGTGGAAAAGGGAAGGGGGTTCTTTAGACAGAAGAATGATGTGTTCAAATACACGGAAGATTGGGGAAAAATGAATGTTTGGAAAATGGAAAGAGAAATAGTGGAATTGTACCTAGGAAGTATGGGGCGTTGAGAGCAAAATGGAAATGAGGTTTGGAAGTGATTGGGAAGGATTATGAAGAACCTTTATATTCCGTAGGAGACAGTTGTCTGCTTGCCCACAGCAGCAGCCTCTTTCTCTCTCAGGTGCTCCCTTCCAGCAGGTATGGTTTCTGACAAGAGATGCTATTGCTTTATCTAAATTATTTTTTTCATGCAGTTGGTTGTTATTGTCATTTGCTTTCTTAGTGACACTAATGACAGTGATTATTGCCCATGAGAATAGTGGGTATGGTTGAAAAGCCCAATGTGGAACTCACAGTCCTTTCCATAGTATACACAATATGTTCACATGAACTCATTAATTGACCAACGGCTGCTGTTTTTAATATAAAGAATGTATCCTTTGGGTCTATTTTCTTTGACTTTAACTCAAAAGTTCTCTATAATTTATAGCTATGTGGGATGCTCTTCTGCCTCTAGTGCTATGTACCAGACACCCTTAACTCCCATGCATGGAAATACTTCTGTCCGTTCCACCTTCTCATGGAAGATGAATGTTGTAGGTAGGGAATGCTGAAGGACTTTCAGGTTACCTATGGAGAACTGAAAACTGCTTTTAAGCTATCATGGATTGCTCTCAGAAAGCTCCAGTTTCTCAGGACTAGGATTTCAACTCAACTTGTTACCTGCCACAAAAAGCTTGGTGTTTCTTGGAAATTTCTATTCCATATTATTCAATTTTTACTTTCTAATTTTCTGTTTTGCTAAGTCCTTTATAAAATACATGTTTTTTGATATCTCTTAATACTATTTTGTGATTTTCCTTTTAGAGTCACTAAAATGTAAAATAGGATATTGTGCATACAAAGTGCATTCATGTGAAGACGCAAGATTAAATGCAGTACTATATTCACTGAAAAAAAAAGTTAAGACTGTTACGTTGTTCAGGGAGAAAAACAAGAGGACACAAAGAAAGATTTTTTTGTTTGTAAGATATTTCTTTCCATGTACACATGGATTATTTTTACAAAATTTCCAGACAGAGATGTTTATTGTATTTTTTGAACCTATCATAAGTTTTAAAGCTATGAACTTTGAATAAACTAGCCATGGTAATCATCAGAATAACTTTTTCCTATTGACAGAATTTGAAATTACAAGAAATGATGTATTCATGTTGCATATCTATTAAGTGGGAAAGTATTACTCTTTGCCTTTAACAGTCTCATGTACTTCATGATTAAAGATGTTGGAAATGATTTATCTCAGTTATATTTCACAGACTTTAAGACTCACTCAAAAGTAAAGATGTCATATTTTCCATTCTGAAATTTGTATTATATAAATGTAGACTATTTTTTTTTTATTTCAGGATATTATGAGGGTACAAACATTTTGGTTACATTTTGTGACTTTGCCTCACCCAAGCGAGGATTAGAGGCATGCCCTTCCCCTCTACAACGCTCACGGCGTCCTTTAGTTGTGAGTTTACCCGCCCCTGAACCCCCTAATCCCTGGAGAATATTACTACCATGTAAGCACCATAGTGTTAATCAGTTAGTGCCAATTTGATGGCAAGTACAAGTGGAACCCATTCTTCCGATCTTGTGATACCTCACTTGAGGTATCTTGTGATACCTCACAGGATGGGCTCGAGCTCTATCCAGGAAAATATAAGAGGTGCTAGATCACCGTCATTTCTTATAATTGAGTAATATTCCATTGTATACATATACCAAATTTTAATAATCCACTCATGAATTGATGGGCACTTCGGTTGTTTCCACATCTTTGCAGTAGTGAATTGTGCTTCCATAAACATTCGGGTGTAGATGTCTTTATTATAGAATGTCTTTTGCTCTTTTGGGTAGATGCCTAATAGTGCTATTGCTGGATCGAATGGTATTTCTACTTTTAGCTCTTTGAGGTATCTCCAAATTCTTCTTCACAGAGGTTTCACTAATTTGCAGTCCCACCAGCAGTGTAAGAGTGTTCCTGTGTCTCCACATCCTTGCTAGCATTTGTTGTTTTGGGATTTTTTGATAGAGGCCAATCTCACTGGGCTTAGGTGATATCTCATTGTGGTTTTGATTTGCATTTCTCTAATGATTAGAGATGTTGAGAATTTTTTTATGTTTGCTGGCCATTATTCTGTCTTCTTTTGAAAGGTTTCTGTTCGTTTCCTTTGCCCATTTATTGATGGGGTTGTTTGATTTTTTCTTGTGGATTTTTTTAAGTTCTAGATAGATTCTTGTTATCAGCCCTTTATCGGTGTGTAGAGAGCAAATATTTTCTCCCATTCAAATGTAGACTATTAGAAATGGGAGATAGAGCTATAGAAATCACTGTTTAAAATTTTATTTTTAAGTTAATTAATTCCTTCAGTGTTCATTCCACGCTTTATTTAAAACTCTTATGTACTAGTTACTGTATTGGATCTGGGAAATAAAAATTGAATGAAACATGCTTCTGCTCTCACAAAGTGCACAGACTAGGAAGACAGGAAAAAAGTACAGTGCAGTGCACTAAGTAGTGTGGTAGAAGGACATTCCAGTACTGGTAACCGTATCTTCAAAGGCTCAGAGTGTGTGGTAAGGGAAAGCATGGAAAACAGTCCGTTGTGGCTAGAATGCAGGATTTGGGGGAGGTAGAAATGACAGGATAGAGGTGGGAGGACACACGGAAGATGAGGAGCCTGGAAGGATTGGTGGAAGCCCGAGGTAGAGAGGGCCTGGGATGCTATCCTGAGAAATTTGGAGTCTAACTAAGAGGGGCAACATTTTCAGCATTTCACAAATATAACTTCAGAAATTCCCTAACATTTTAAAATGATACAAGAGAAGTTTGAATCAACTTGTTCTAGGATGAAGAATGATAGGGAAGCCAGGCATAGACAGGTAGCGAGAGAAAGGACACTGAAGGCCTCGATGACACAGAAATTATAACTGATCTCAAACCTTCAAGGAATGCCCCCATTTTCTTCAAATTTTTCTTTCAGCTACACTTATTGATGCTATTTTCCTTTGTCTTCTAACATTACCTATTAAAAGAGTTTTTCTAGGTCTCTTGCTTGCAGGAGACCAATGATGGTAGTTATGTTTTTGAGAAATTGGAGCATTAAATTGAGAATGTTGATGTTAGAGACTATGTCTTTTTTTATCTTTTCTTCTTCAATACTACAGTATCTGGTAGATATTATGCCCAGTAAGTATTAAATGATGAATAAATGAGATAATCCCAGAAAAATAGAGCCTTTTGTTTGCTACTCAGTTTATCCCTGAAATTATGGTAAATTTTCTCATTCTGCAAATTTCAAATCATAAAATCAAATCATTGGAATGCCTAGCACATAGCACCTGCTCAATAAATATTTGCTGAATAAATGGATAAGATAAAAATCTAGGACAGTTGAATGAAGTATTTATTGAATACTTCCTGGGAACATGGCAGTAAAATATTTAAGATGTTATCTAGTTGGAGAAATACTATAGTATGAAAGTCGTGGACAGTATTATAGGAGCTCAAAGGAGGAAAGAATCCTTGTGGACTAGACCAGTATGAGAAGGTTTCAGGACATAGGATGGACTTCGCTAAAGTTTGAAAGATTGGTATGATTTACCAATGTGGAGAGGAAAAGAAGTTGTTGAAGAACAAGGCATGTGTGGGAGCTTAATGAGATGACTGTTTGGGGTTCATTAATTTATTAATTAATTCTGTTACATTCTCTTTCTAATCCCAGTAAATGCTTAGTGATGCCTTTCTTATTGTTTTCAGGGCAGTGTCGGGTCTGTGGGACCAATTGGACCTTCTGGAATTCCTGGCCCAATGGTATGGTTCAATTTACATAATGAATATTTCTCTTAAATTTCCCTGTGATGTCACAAAATGTCACCTTTTCTTTTAGGGCCTTTCAGGGAATAAGGGACTACCTGGAATCAAAGGTGATAAGGTGATTTAAATATTAACATTATCATAAAGATAATTTCTAATGACATTTGTCTTTTTCTTTCTTTTGGGTCAACACAACTTATAAAATATTATATTTTTATTTATGGGGTCTAATTTGTACTATACATTATATTAATTTCTCTTAGAAGCAGGAAAAATAGAGAAATTATGCTTCTATAATTAACATTTGCTTTCTTATGATATTGCCATGTTTGTGATACTTAAGTGTCTGTATGAAATTGTGCTTTCTAGGGTGAACAAGGCATTGCAGGAGATCCGGGAGAACCAGGGTATACTGGAGACAAGGTAAAGTTTTTACTATTAATTTTTTCTTTCTTTCTTTTTTTTTTTTTTTTTGAGACAGGGTCTTGTTTTGTCTCCCAGACTAGAGTGCTGTGACATCATCATAGCTCACTGCAACCTCAAACTCCTGGGCTCATGTGATCCTCCTGCCTCAGCCTCCCAAGTAGCTGGTACCACAGGCATGCGCCACCACACCCAACTATTTTTTCTGCATTTTTTTAGAGACCAGGTCTTGCACTTGCTCAGGCTGGTCTCGAACTCCTGGCCTTAAGCAACCTTCCTGCCTTGGCCTCCCAAAGTGCTAGGATTACAAGTGTGAGCCACTGCACCTGGCCACATTTTTACTATTAATTTTATCTAAATATGAAAAAGTATAAATTCAAAAGAAGGAGTGCTTGTTATTTTACCTATGTATTTTGTTAGGATATATTATCAATATGGTTTTGAGTTTTTGTTTAAAACAATTTTTTCTCAATTTTTTTAGTATACTTCCATGAATTTTTTTTTAGTAGTTTGTAAATAGAAGTATATCTGCCTTTCTTGATGTATTAACTTCCCCTTCCCTCTACTATTCTCTTCTTTTAGGGTGCTGTTGGTTTGTCAGGACCACCAGGGATGAGAGGAAAGCCAGGACCTTCAGTAGGTTTGAACTTTTGCTTTGTTCTTTATGATTAATGGAATGCAGGCCATGGCATGAGTCTTGATATTATTGATGTATATAGGATATAAGCCTACTGGTCTTGCATTTTCTCTCTTCAGTTTTAGAATATAGCTAATCCCTTAATGATTTAGTTCACATTCCACAGACTGTTGGAACTTCCTTACCCCTAATCCCTAGCCAACACCAAGTTTCAGTGAGGTCTAAAGAGCTTAGTTATATTATTCCTCTGAGTGATCTATTATAGACAGTATTTAAATTAAACAATGGGCTTTTAAGACAAAAATATAAAGCATCTTAAAACATATTTTAACTTTTTCAAGTATCAGTTTTATTAAGGAAACATTCTGAAAAAATAAGAGCATGTCACACACTATTGTGGGCTCAAATATTCTAATTCCTTGTCTTTTTTCTAACCCTTGGGCATCAATTAGGTGAAAGAAGGAGATCCTTATATCATAGTTAACATAAAAACCGAACAAATTATAAATGTAAAATTACTTAATAATTAATATCATTTAAAGAAAATGATTAAAATATGAGTCAAAATATATCTCTGAATATTAAAAATCATAATAATTATTATAACTAACATTTACTGAATGTTTACAAAGTTCTAGGCAGTATTTTAAGGACTATGGATCTAATTTAATCCTCACAACAATCCTGTGAAGTTGGTACTATTATTGTTCCTATTTTATATATTAAGGAAATTGAGATACAGAGTGTTAGATAATTTTCCGTAGGCCCCATAGTTAGTAGGTGGCCATCTGGGAAAACCTAGGCAATCAGGTATGTCAGAGCCCGTGCTCTTTCCCACTAAGCCATACTGTTTTAGGGTTTAATATTTTAAGATTGTTTTAGGGTTTTAATATTCATTACAACTCTATGAAAGTGAAGATGACTATAGGTAGAAAAATTAGATATAGGTGATTATAATGTGTTAATGTAACATTAAAATGTATATTTAAAAACAAGAGTGTTTTTTTCCTGAGCAGTTTATCATGTTCCTTCTAACTCTACTCTCCCATCTCCAGATTGTTTAATTTTGCATCTCAGGAAGCAGTATTAAGTAACAGAACTTTATGTACCCCATTCTTTGTGACTTCTAACAGTGACAGCATTTTATGTGCATCTCTCAGGAATTATTTAAACTGAAGAATAATTTTTGGTATCTGTTTGATGAAATCTTAGTGGTGACCTTTGTTTTTACTGGTTTTTTGCCCTGGACTTACAGCAGTTAACCCAGTCAGCCATGTACCCAGACTTGTACCCTTGAGTTGAATCTTAGCAACTCCAAAGTGTATAAATAGGGTCATGAGAATAGGTCATGCAGCTAAAAAAACAGCTTGTTTTTCAAGGATGATTCTAAACCATATGACAGGGGACTTCTGATACCTGCAGTGATTGGCAAAATAAGACCCTAACTTTTTACATCTGCGGTTTTTCTAATGTCACAGTTTTCTAAACCTTTGATAATAAGAGGAAATGATACAACACATTATCTAAAGCCAATACTAACAAGTAAATGATGTGAATATTATTCTCTTATGCTTTACAATTAATTTCTTGAAAAAGCTGGAGTCAAATATGCTTACACAAGGCTTATCATTTTAATGTTCCTTACTCTTCAATTCAATGTATATTGATAACATGTTTATGGGAAGAAAAAAATCCCTGCTCTGAGAGACAGAAACTTGGATTCTAGTCTTAGCTCTTACACTTAACCTGCTATGACTGTGGGTGTTTAACCATGATGATATCCAGTTTCGAATTAAAGTCAAACTATATCATGTTTAAGGTTCCTTATAGCCCTGTGACTGTGATATTTTTCTCTTTTAGTAATAGTGCATATCAATATTTTTCTGGTCTAAGCTAAAGAAGAGACAGAGAACCTATTTCACCTTCAACACATTATCTTAAAACCCTTAATTTCTTTTGCTGAAAGAAATTGCAAGAAATGCTAATAGGTTCCTTTTAGGGCAGGGAGCAAGAGATGGTGAAAGTGAGGCTTTTACTTGCTCATTTTTTACCTTTCTGTACTATTCTCATAAAAAAAATATAATGTCAACAGGGATCACTTTGGCAGGGTGATAATTGACTATTATTTATTTTATCAAACCTTTGAAAAATATATACTTTAGGCTGAAAATAGGATAGCAACTTGTGAATTAATATTGGTGGGATGGCCTTGTCTTTAGTCTCTCCCTTTATTTATTACTTGTTTTATCTTTTTAATAGAAAAAATTATAGATATTTGACCTGGAAACCTTTCCTAGCTATGGAAGGGGACACCTGTTTGATGAAAAGTTGCTTATGCAGAATCAGTTATCATATTAAGAAACAAACTATCACACTGAGCTGTACAAGTTCATGCCTACCTAAAACATTTGTTTACTATCATGGAAAGAATGCCAAGAATGTCCTTCCTATTCTATAGATCCTAGTTTTGATTTTCTGTCATTTAAGATGTTGGTGTTACTGGTATTGTTTCCAAATAGATCTAATTTGTAACGTGAAAGAATATTTTCAAGATATAAGAATGTCCTGCCTGATCTGGAACATTTTTATAATTCTGGAATAGGGAAGCTTTTGCTCTGCAAGTATTCAAAAAATAGAGAAAATTACCACTATGAAGTGGCTAGTAAATACTCTTTTCTTGAGACAATTCTTATGCTCTTTCCATATTTTAACTGGAAGTTTTTGTCATTTATCGAGGTTTACTTAATATTACTCAATTCTGTAAAAGTCACTTGAAAACTAAGTTTTATAAAGGAAATTTGTCATTCACATGACACTTGCAATTGAAGTTTTGTAAAATGAAGAATTATTTTAAAGAACAAATGAAGTTATTCCACAATTTATGTGTTTAAATATCTGGTTGGCAACCAGCTTTTCTGAAAACAAAGCCATAAGTATGCAGTTTTTTCCTGTTTGAAAATGTAGCTTCTTGGTTGGATTTTGCCACTAGAGGGCCTCAGTGAAAACGCCATCTCTATCTCTTTAAGAGAGGTGCTTGTCATTTTCCCTTACATATTGATTCTGATGGATCACAGTTTTTGTCTTTGTTTATTTGGAAAGGGAAACTTACATGAGCCTTTGCATAATACTTCATTACCTTTCTATAGATTTGATTGCGGTAGTGATATTTTTTTGTCCAGATACCTTAGCACTCACTGAGCATGGATTCAATGTGTATGGAAAACTATGCTTTAGTTCTTGGGAAATGGGTAATCCCATATTGTATCTTGCAATTTTATGTATTCTGAGGCCTAGAAACTTAACATGACAGAAATAATGAATTTTATAGTTATTCTTATGAAAATAGGTGTCTATATTCTACTGTTCTTTCCTATTCCGTACTTTCATCTCTTGAGATCATCTCCAGCCTTCTCTAGTTTCGGGCTTTATACCCACGTCTCTCTCCTCTCACTTTCTTCTCTGGCCCCGTTTTCACATCTTTAATACGAATGTCAGAAACTGGCTTCAGAGATACTGAAACTGAAAGCTCTAAACTTCAATTAAAGGACCAAAACAATCTAGAAATTCTGTTAATAGGTATCAGCCAGAAGAGGAATAAGAGTATGAAGAGAAGGATTAATGATTGTAAAAGCAGTCGACATTTAATAAGTACTTCATGTGCTAGTCACTGTGCTTAGCACTTTACATATATTGTCTCATTTAATCCTTGCAATGACTCTTTGAGAATGTTAGTACTGTTATTATTACTATTTTATTGATGAGAACACTGGGGCTAGAGAGATTAAGCAACAAGGATTTGAATCCAGGTTAGTCTTAATTACTAATTCAGGCCACTTACAGTATCAAAGGGGAGAGGAATTTTCAGAGACAGTCCTGGGACTCTGGTTATTTATAAAAGCAGTTCCTCATCTGGAGTTTCTGACTTTGTTGAGTCAAGCTTTGTTGTCTTACCTCTGGGAAACACACACACATGCACACACACATACACTTTTTTGCTTGACTCGAGCACTTAACTCATTAATTTGTTTATATCTCTAACAATTAAGAATAAATATATATTAAATCTATAAATATTTTATTTAAATAAGTTTTGCAGTAATGATGGTTACCAATTAAATCTCTGAAAAGTCATTACAACTTTGTTTGAAATAACGTAATGAGTGCTATTTCCTTACCATATGCCTGTTTCCTCTTTTAATTGTATTTATTAAGTTAATGTTTATACTTTGATTCTCCTCCCCCATTTTAGGGCCAACCGGGTGACCCAGGACGCCAAGGACCATCTGGCCCTCCAGGACCAGAGGTAAAATATTGATGGAAAGATAATAAATTTGAATCAAAACGGTGAAAGTTAATCTTGATTTGTGAAACATGTTTTAACATAGTATACTTAAGAAAGAGTCTCTTTATATCTGTGTAAATAGTTTGGACTAAATTTTTCCGTTATGTCAGGAGATATGCAACAGTGATCCTAAGGAAACAGAAAAATGTATTAGTCACATTTGACCCTGATTATATCAAGTTGATTTGTGTGTTCTGTGTGACAACTGTTAATAACACATACTTACGGCTTGAAATCAACTTTTAGGATGTAAATGCCACTGAATTTTAAATGCAAAATGCTTCTAATTCTTGCTATATTCATATATATCATTTGGATTTCATACAGTGTTCTAGAATAAATACAATTAAGTATGTAGTACATATATCAAGTTTGTTTGTATATTTTGTAAAATTTTGACTTTGGCATAATGCTTAATATAAAGCGGCTTTCTTTTCTGAAAGTTGACATAGACCATAAGCTTCTGAGATGAAACATTTGGGGTCTTTTTTAATCATATTATGAATCAAAGATACACTACATGGAAATGAAGGTTCTGAAGCTCACTCTAGTTTCAGAAATATGTAACAAAAATATATATGTGTGTATGTGTGTGTATTTTTAGACACACACACACATATAAATATACATAGACCTCTAATTCAGAGTCACAGATGCAGCAGTAAAGCTGAGAAAATGAATTTGGCTTCAGAATAAATAAATCAGAGCAATAAAGTCTCCATAGTCTCAGAGCAGTAGGCAGAGTTTCTAGGAATAGAATTGTACTGATGCTTTCTCCTCTTTGTAAACTGTAAGAACTACTTCTTACTCCACAGCTGTCTTTTAAGGTTGACTGATTTCGTCTGCAAATGCCTACTCTTCCTTATTGTCTAATTTAAAAACACATTAGATATTGATAGTTCAAAACCGTACAAAACTACATTATACTTAGTTTTATTAATAGAGAGGTAATAGATGTAAAATGTAGTATATGGATGTCATCATTTTGAGAAGGAAATTGTTTTGAGTGATTAAAACTTCAGATTAATATAAGCTTATCTCTTTATATGAGCCTACATTCTTTATTTTAATCATTTTTAATGAAAACTTTCCTGGAATGACTAGTACTTACCTGTCTTCTCATACTGAGGATACAGACTCTAATTTAACTTTCATATGTTTAAAGTCTATTTTTATGACTTTGAATTGTCCTATTACAACTACAGTGACAGATGATGGTATATGTCCTAGGAAGGACTATGTTGCTTCCTTGCTATCAGTATGGTTTGGGGTCATTTTCTTCTTTCTCATAAAGCTTGGTTAAAGGACGCATGAGCAATATTTTCGCTTACTACTTGGTCTTCCAAAGATATTTCTTTTTTTCTCTATTTCCTTTGAAATTTTATAATTTGCCATCAACATTCAAAACATTATCTCATTATCTTTGATACTACTAATACAAAGTCCTGAGCCCAACCTTGTCAGACTATACCCATTTTTCCTCTTCACTTGTATTAAATTTTTTCATGGGGCTAAAGATGTAACTTGTACTATCTCAAGAATTGGTGTGAGATTGTTTTGAGAAATGAGGCCTAATCCAAAGATTATCACTTTCTTTTATCATAAAAATACAGTCCATAGGCAACCATATATGATGTAACACTTTTATCCATATCCTTTTCAACATTAAGCTTTTATTAAAATTGCAGGCCCGAGAATTTAAAATAGTATATTTAATAGTAAATCAAGCCTGAAAAGTTTCTGTTTGCACAGTGGATGAATTTTCTCAGATAAAGGATGTTATGTGTTGCACTAAATTTAGACTTTTAAAGATTCCTAAGCAAGGGAATGGAATCATCAATCAGGCTTGTGCTTGAGATGTATGTGCAGTAGCAGGGGAAAAGATAAAAGAGAAAGAGGAAGGAGGGGTGACAAGGAGACTAATTGAGGGCTATTTAAAAGGTTAATGCACTAGAGCAGGGGATTAATGACAAGGTCCTGTGGCAATAGAGAGGAAAGCTTAGCTTCAAGAGAGAATTAGAAAATATAATTTGCAGCACAGAAACCATTTAGTTTGGTTCATTCCATTTGTGAGATAGAGGTATAAAAGAGAGTAGAATGTGGATCATCATTCTAAAATTAGAGAATAAAGGAAGAGGAGAAGGAGCAGGAGGAGATTCAAGGTAGTTGGAAATAATGCTTTGGTTTTTAATCTGTTAGGGCTGAAATATCTATAGGACATATATAAAATTATTCTAATAAATATACAGAAACTGTAGGCCTAAAGCTCAGAGGAGAAGCATGGACTAGAGATACATATTTATATAATCATCCACAATGATGTATTAGGTGAAGTAATTGTAATAGATGAAATCATTTATGGTGAGTTTATAAAACAAGGTTTGAAAATATTAATACCAATACCTGGAAACTTACCCCCAGAAGGCAGCACTCTTTGTCTACAGTGCAATTAAGTTTTATTTTTATTTTTATTTTTTTTTTTCGAGACAGAGTCTTGCTCTGTTGCCCGGGCTAGAGTGCCGTGGCGTCAGCCTAGTTCACAGCAACCTCAGACTCCTGGGCTTAAGCGATCCCTCTGCCTCAGCCTCCCAAGTAGCTGGGAC